GAATAAAAGTAAAAAAATAAAATGAAAAAAAGAAAAAAAAAAACTTTAAACTTAATAGCAGATGAACTTGTTCCCTACGCTTCATGTTAGGTTGATTAAATCGTGTTATCTCGTACTCTAGAATTAATACTAGCAATTGCCTGTCCAAAAACAAACAAAGATGATTCAAAATACAGTTAAATAAGAATATTTTAGAAAATAAATAATAAGCTGAAAAATAAGAACAAAATGAGACAAAAGCAACTGAAAATTAAGCTGCAAAAATAAAACTAGATTAAGTATACTAGAGAAAGCTAAAACCAATGTTGAGATCCATATTGTGAAAGGAATCTCCTTACAGATGCAAAATATGGAACAAGTTTAAAGCTTGTTGGCAACATACAATATGGAATTCAGAGATTACATTGTAAAATTATTACATACTCTTTCTAATCTTAAATCAAACAATTTATTTGTTATCCTTTAATTTTGGCAACTATTACCATGGTTGTAACTAGATGTGGCTTATCCTTTTTGACTGAAGAACATAGGTTGGATGTTATGATATGAAAATAAGAAAAAAGGGCAAAAATAGTCTTCTTTTGAGTTATGTCAAACTTGTCAGATATGCTCAAACTAACAATAATATTCAATATTATGGATGGCATAAGGATATTAAGAACTAGTTTGACTATTTGAAGCTCTGGTGTAAAAAGGATTTAACACATAAAAGTGTGCATATATGTTTAACTTTATTATGGTGAAGTGAAGTAGCATTATTTGTTAAGCAGTACCTGATTTGTGTAAACTTAGCTTCCACGTATGCTTTCTTTGTATTTTCCCATGAAGTTATAGTTGATAGCTCCTTTGGTGATCTGTTGATTCATTTACAAAAGGCCAAAAAGATTAACCACACAAACTTCAAGTGTGTATTGGATAAATGATAATTATGTACTTCGAAAATTTTATAATTTACGCATTTACCCCTCACTAGTTTTCTAGTAAAGAAAGGCAACATATTACATACCTGGACATATATTCCACTTCCACCACATTGAGGGCAGGTGATCTGGATTCTAAATGGACCTGTTTGACTCATTATTTGTTAACAAACCAAAACCACATTTTAGTATTTAGTAAAAAAAAATATTTTTTTTCTGATTAAAATAATTATAAAATTAAATTATACAAACACCAACCATTCCTGCTCCTTTACACCTCCTACATGTTTCAAGCTTTGTTCTAGGAGGTATACCAAATTACCAGTTCCACCTTTATTTAACCACAATAAAAAATTAATAGACAATGACATTAAAGAAAATGTGGATGTTTATAAAGCACGAAAGATATTCTTACAAAATAAGTTGTGGGGCCAAATGCTAAGCCTCCGAAAAATCCAAGAAGACCTCCAAAGAAAGGGAAGGTTATACCTACAAACATTGTGAATGCTAAAATCCAAAAAAAAAAAGATTAGTAAATGATACTTTAAAATAGATAAATTCATAACATTTTGCCTTGAAATAGAATTGTACTTTACTAACCTACGTAGATATTGCGCGTACAAAATTGTAAGAAATCCATATCAAGAAGATTTTAAAGGACTTCCCTCTCAAACATCATCACCATGGTTATCATGTTTTCCCCAAATTTGTACCAATCAATTAACACTAACACTTCCGGTGCAAAAAAGGAAGAAGGTTGTTCTATGTGGTGTGACCTACAATGGCCATATAAAGAAACTTGAAGCCAGTGTTCATAATGTGAGGAGTATATGAAAACCATCAAAAACATCATTTATCCAATACAAACAACACTTAGGTTGTATTTGGCAAACTAGCTGGAAGGCTGATTTTAACTGATAACTGAAAAATGTAAAATGACATTAAAGGACGTTTGTTTATTAACAGACAATCAAAGATGATAAATTGAATGCATTGGAGGGTCGTTTGTTTCTGCTTGGCCCTGAGATGATCAAGGGTTCTCGTTGAAAGATTTAAAGAAAAGAAGGAAATACCCTTTTAAAAACTATACATTTAAAAGAATCAAATACAAACATTTTTATTATTATAAAATATCTCGAAAACAATTGTTTCTTTTGCGTCGACATCTTTTATTGTATTATTTAATTTAATTTTATTTAATTATAGATAACTATGTACTTCTATTAAATTATATGATAAATCAAGTTTGTTATTGTCTAATAAATGGTAAAAGGTTAGAGTAAATTAACAAGATTTTCCATGGTTCAGGTTCCCAATATGTCCATATGTTAGGCTATTTGCCACATGCTGGTTAGTATTGTCTTATTTCAATGGAGCTGCTTATGTTTATAAGCATGCATTTCATCAAACAATTTACAGAAATCCACAAGTTAAAATATGGTATTTACCGCGAAACAAGGGCATTTTTGGTAAACCAGATGATATTTTAACCACTACAGAGAAATTTATAGCAGAAAACGGACCTGAAGAGTTCGAAAGGCTTATAAGTAGGGTGAGTTTACATCGATGATAATAACAACCATCTCATCCTTATAACCCAAGAAAGTAGTAGCTTGCATGGTTTGTTTGTGTCACCTTTGGTGAAATCCTTCAATTTTATATCATATATCAAAAAAACAATTAATCATATTATTACATAAAAAAATCATAGTATCTCATAAAATTAATAATAATACCTCACCATCCTCGTCAAAGTTTAATTCATAAATGCCTTCATCATTCACCCATAAGTTGTATATACATGATGGATTGTTAGCTCAACTCTCGCTAGTGCCACAGTTGGTTCATTTACAGGAGGATCTCTAGCTGACCAATTTGGAAGAGCAAAAACTTTTCTACTTGATGCAATTCCACTTGCATTTGGAGCATTTCTTTGGTTTGATATGATATTCTCCCATCTTTTAGTTATCATAATTGTGGTTATCTTCATTCAATAGAGATAACAACTCATTTCATACCTTAGATTGTTTGCCATATCACGACCATTAGACACATAAGTTAAATATACAAGAACAAATTCCCAACTAAAGAAGGCATTGCATAAGAAAGCCTTTCAGATAATACATCATCTACTTTTCATTAAAGTCTAATAAAAAAGACAACAAGTCTTTATCATATCAGAATGTTCTTTTAGCTCTAAGAGTATCAGTAGCTCAAGTGATTATGCCAACAACGATTAAGTAAAAGTAGCCAATAATAGCAAACTAAGGAGGAAACATTATTGTTCACAACAAAAAAATACAATTCCTAGCATATGTAATAAAAATAAAAATAAAATGTATACCTCACCGTCTATGGCGAGCAACATGTTGGAACCATGTACAGGTTGCTCAAACTTCCTATGATAAATCCTTCTCTTCTAACTTCACCTTCAAAATTAACAAAAAGAATAAAAATTACAACAGTTGTAACAGTGACGAATAAAGGGCGTATATACATTGTTCTTTCTCACTAAGGAATTTCATCGAACACTTGGTGGTCGACTTATCAAATATCAAGTATGAAACAGTAAAAGCTCTGAACACTGATAGAGGGTGAAAATGTAATAAGAAATGAACTGAAACTAAAATATAGATGAAATTCAGAACAGTATTCGGCCTAAATGCAATTTTGACCACTGCTAGGGTTCACGAGTACTGGATGGGACGGTTTGGGCCCGAAGGACGCAAGCAATGCCGATTCTCGCCATTCATTAGTGACAAAGGGTGGGGTTGGGCATCAATCAGTGATGATAAAGCAAGACACAGATGAAGGAGGACAACAAGAGAAGATGAAGAAAAAATCTCACCATTGATTAACCTTGTAGGAATCGCCTTTGAACTCTTAAACATGCGATCAATTAGGGTTCTTGCGTTTGTCTCGATCATTGGTTAGCTACTTGAAGCATCCGTTGACTTAATCGATAGATAGATCTATGGTGAGATGCCAGAATCAAACACGAAGACTTCTTTTAGGAAAACAGACATTTAATAACTTTAGGGCACTTCTTATAAGTATTAGTGGCATAAATCGTTAATTAAGCGTCATTAGATCAATTAATTTTATAATTGTACATAAAATATGCAACAAAAAACATAATATAGTGGCATAAAAAAGATGTGTCATTAAAAACGTATGCCACTAAATATCATTTTTTTTATAGTCACATATACATCAAACACACATACATTAGCATATATACATCAATTTCACATATATTCAAACAAATATGCAAATATACAATCTAATTTTCACATATGACAATTTTCACATAATTTCACATATAAATACAAAATTCACAAAAAAATGAAATAATAGAACTTGTAGTGGTGGAAATCAACGGATATGTAGTTGGAAAAACTAGTCTTCACCCGAAAGTACCTTTACCGGAAAAACTGAAAAACACCACCAAAATCACTGAAATTGAACAATTTATTGCAATTTAGTCATCAAATTCAGCTTTTAATAATCATCAAATGTCCCTAAAGGCTAAACTACAAGTGGAAGTTATACAACTAATTGCCATTCAATCACCACAAACAAGAAATTGAACAATTTACTTCTAATAAAAAACAACAACACAAAAAACAAGAATATGAACAATTTATTACCATTCAATTACTAGATGAAGCTACAAATCGAAATTAACATACAAATTAAAAATGAAATTACCAAATCAACTTACGTTTCTTCAAGAAATGGAGTTAAAAATTGGTTCCAAAAACTTTAACCACACCTAGAGAAATTTGCTTGGAACAAGCAAATTGAAGAGAAAGTCAGCGATAGTAGCAAATGGCGAAGGGCAACAATGCAGCAAACAGAATGAAGAATGAAGAATGGAGGGTTTCTGCGTGTGTTTTTTTTTAATCTACGAGAGGCAATAGCGGCGATTCATTTAGCGGCGACAGAGAACCCTTTACGGGTGACAATCACTAATAGCAGCGACAAACTAGAGGGAAGGGTACCGCGTTATTTTTAGTGAACTATTAGTGACGACTTTTTTTAACTTTTAGCGGCAACACATATGTCGCCGGTATTAGGTTAGACAAGATAAGACACCCCACCCGTTGGATTGGATATCTCATCGAACGGTTCAGATGTAACAGAGGGGGAAAGCGCTGATTCGGGTGGCAACCCTTTAGTGGCGACACTATTACCGGCGACAATATCTAGAATCGCCGATAATGCCCCTTGTCGCCGGTAATAGTGTCACCGCTAAAGGGTATATTTCTTGTAGTGTACATATATATTACTAATTACCGTGCTTGTCAATAGGGTTATTCTCTAACTAAAATTCAAATTGTGTAATTAATTGTGATTTTTGTATTATAAAGATGCTAAAAACTAATAAGTGTGGATAGATGAAAAAAATTCATAAAATAAATTAGCAATATTTGTATTCAAGGTTGGACAAACGTTTTTGTCTTATATTTTTAAAGCATCTTATATAAGCAGCTGGCGAGTCGTGCTACATCAAAATTTTCAAACATAACCACGTACATATAATAAAACAATTAATATTAAACTTTTAAGAGGATTAATTTTGTCACAAATCTTTCATGAATTATTGAATGAAATAAACAATCAATCATTCATATATCATACCATACAAATCATCTCTAGTAAGTAGTAAACAATCAATCATTAATTCATATATCCACGTACTATACGTACTACAAATACAATCTCTAGAACAAGAATTAGATATGCAACAAACATCATATATCAATTGTGTACATTTTTCTTCCCAGAGTCTTTTTGTTGTCCTCTTTTGCGAAATCCTAGACACATACCCATCCACCAACCTTGAATAATGTACTCTGGTAACAATCTTGCAAAAGCCCACAAGATCGAATGTTGCCAATAAGGCATGCATTGTGGTTCATAACCAATAAAACGTATGGCAGCTTGAGCATAAGCATCTGTTGATGCAACAAACAAGGATGCCCTTCTACGGGAAGACATCTTTGTTGCCACATACAAGGGTATCTATTAAACATTTTGTGCACACAATCAATAAGGGATCAAACCCAGTTGTTACCAAATCAACAAGTCATCGAGTGTCAATTATGTCGACTAAAATAATGGTAAAGAAAATTAAATCTTAGTTTCAAAAGATGAGCATACCTGACACTGCACATCGATACCACTATTCTTGTATTCGACATAGAGGCACCTTGAAAATTGATTGATGTAACTAAAAAAAATTTAAAAAAAAAAAAAAAAAAAAAAAAAAAAAAAAAAAACAATGAGTTTGATTCTTAAGCATCGCTATTCCAACTCAAGACCCAAAATTCGTACGTTAACTTCTTTTCAGAAATACATAACCACATAAAAATTATGCAACACTTCCCCTAATTAAGCATATAAAGATATGGACACGCCTAGCTTGTAAACCGGGCATGCTAAAAATGATTTTGCTAAGTGTTTTGTAATGTAAAGAGAAAGTGATTAAAATTTACTATAATGTTGTTATATGAAAAAAAAAATGTAATGATTATGCATCCCTAAAATAGAAAACAAAACATGGGTTCACCATCCTCTACAAAATACAAATGGTATAAAACAAATATTCTTGAAGAGGCATGTCGCATGTTCCAAGAATATTTGTCCTCTATTCAAAGGATATTATTCAATTATTAAAGAATCTCTTCTTTTATAAGAATGGTAAGAGGGTAGATTTCGATATGTTAAGAGCAAGAAAAGTAATGTTCGTACTTCAACCTGAAACAACATTTTTAGATTATCACCAGATAATTACGAAGGACCTTACGCTTTAGTAGCAGCATAAAGTGCATAAAGAGGACTAGAAGGCATAACAACTGCAACACCCGACCCAATATTAACAATAGCTCCTTTCTTTCTCTTGATCATTCCAGTCAAGACGACATTTGTAACTTTAGTCGTCCCTTCAACGTTAACCTTAATTAAATCAGACATCAACTTATCATCGACTTCATGAAAAAATCTAGCATAAGGATAACAAACCCCAACGTTATTTATCAAAACCCCAACATCTATACCATCAACCGTTTCCTTAATCCTTTCAATCCCATGATCTAAATCACAACTAAAATCAACCACGACAATTTTGATTCGGGTTTGTTTGAATTTAGTACGGATTAAATCTGAAACATCGTTTAGTTTAGCAAGATTCCGACCCACAAGAACCAAATTTAGTCCTTTACTGGCCAGTTGGAAGGCAAAGGCTTTACCAATACCATCTGTAGGACCCGTAACCAATGCCCATGACCCGTATTTCTTGAGGTTTTTAGCGGGTCTGAGGAAATTAACGAACACCCAATTCAAGATTTGAAGGGATGATTTTAGTAGAGAAAGAAAAGCAAGAGCGAGTGGAAGAAGGAGCCATAAAGGTTGAGATTTGAGGTCTTGCGTTGAAGAGAAGTCCATGAAGATGGAGTTAGAAAGAGGTTATTTTGTTGTGGAAGGGAAGGTGAATAGTCGCTTAGATATTTTAAGTCATGAAATTTACATGCAGTATTTTAATGAATATAAGCTTTACTCCTATTAATGAGCATTAAAAGTTTGGTTGATAGCAGTTGGGGTGGGGTATGATTCCAAATACAGCAAAATAACAGTCAGAGCGTCATTATGGGATATATCACTCAAAGTTCCAAAACTTTTTTTAAAGTGGTCCATCAAAAAATAAATTAAAAAAAAAAACCCTACATATATTGAATAAAGGTTTTTTCAACATGGATTTATTCTAAATTCTCCAAATTGTTAAAGTGAAAGTAGGAACATTGCATATAACTGTCAATATTAATTTTACAAGATGAAGTGTTTTTGCTAATTGTTATAAATATTATTTAACAAGTTTTAAATGAAATTGAAGGTAGCCAGGGTAGGCCTCTTTTTTTTAAATAGCATGCGGCTAGAGTAGGTAGCCTATTTATGCGACTTTTTTTTTTTTTTTTTTGTTAAATATCATTTGTTCGAATCTTATTATCTTTTTACGTAAGTCTCTAAAATGTTTGAGTATCAATCAGATCCGTTTGATGGTGCGGAATCCCAATCAAATGGATGATATCAGATAAAATAGAAGAGAAGAAGAAGAAGAATATGATGAATCTATGTATTAATTGATTAGAATGAAAATCCGGATACAAAAGATTCACACACACAAAATGTTCTCTAGTTTCTCTCTTTTCATGTTCATCAATCTCTACTCCTCACCCCTAACACCTATATATACTAGGGAATATGAGCTAACTGAACATGGGCCGTAAATGGGTTTACGGTCGGACCATAAACAGGGTTTACGGCCCGTAAACACCTCCCTGTCCGTAAACCTGACCGTAAACTCATAAAATATTACAGAAAATATAATTGCCTAGATAAGCAAAGTACAAACCATATTTTGACCCAACAATCTCCCCCTTGGTTTATAGCTTTCTTTTCTTAAATGACCCAACAAGCTACCCCTAAAAAGTAGTTGACTCTTCTTGTCAATCTTCATCGAGAGCTTGGCTTAAGCATTTATCTTCAATGAATGACTTCATCTTGAGCACTTGGGCAATTCTTCAAGAATGATCTTCAATGTAATCCGTCACATAATCTTCAATTTCTGCTTCACCTTGCTTCTGGGGTTGAAGGATTGAATGTTGAAAGAATGATCTTCATTTCTTGCTCCTTCGAATGAGAATTCTTCGATGCTCACGGACGAAGCCTTGACTCAGAAATCTTCGACACAAACTCCATGAGTCTTATCTATACCTGAAATCACTTTTCAAGACAAAACAAAACTAAAAGAAAACTTAGCACACAAATTAAAATAAAAACAAAAATATTTTTAGATTTTTTATATTTTCTGAAAAAAGAAATAAAACAGAAACAAAAATATTTTGGATTTTTTATTTTTATGAACAAGAAATAAAACAGAAATAACACTATTTTTTATTTTGAATTTTCTGATTTTTGTTTGTTTTCTTTATTTTTAATTCTCCCCCTTATATTTAAATTAGAAGAACACTATGAACAAACTTAACAAAAACAAAAATAATAGCTAACTTTAAGAGTGATTTGGGATCAAAGTTGTTGGACAACCTTATTCCACTTGTCGGTACCCTTATATTCACATCTTTGTCTAATCGATCACCAGTATTGTGCTCCGCTTAAACACGAAACATTTGTGACACGATTTGGACAATTTACCAATGACATGATACATGCATATATCTAATTATAACTTTATTATCATGATTGGCCCTAATTCTTAAATAGATTTTTCTTATGACCATTTAACTGACTACAACCAGGGATATTGTTATCCATCTAAATCGAGCAGCGAGATCTACAGACAATCTGTATGTGTTCAATTTTAATTGTACTAGAGCGTGTTTCCCGCTTCCTGTGACAATCGTCAATCTAGAGTAAAGTCAAGTCATCAAGTCAAACCGGTCAACTCAATTAAACCTTGTGTATTAGGATTTGTGTTATGTAATTACTGCATAACTTGCTATATTAATGGGAAAACATCACTTGGGAAAAGTTCTTGTGTTAAAATTTCCTGAGTCTTAGTGCTAATCAATGAACTAAGCTGATAAAACCATGTTGCATACTCATCGGGAGTGTGTAGGATCCTTAATCATGACTTAACGGGGCTCAAGAACCTTGCGTTGCGGAGCCAAACACTCACAATTGTCACACATGGAACTCTCTTAATCGTTTTCACTCTATCTCTCTCTATGTCAAATCTCTCCCAAATCTCTCCAAGAATGTGAAATCTCTCTCAAATATCTTTTTGTATGAGGAATCTCTCCAAGAATGTCAAATCTCTCCCAAATCTCTCCAAGTATGTGAAATCTCTCTCAAATATCTCTTTGTATGAGGAATCTCTCCAAGAATGTCAAATCTCTCCCAAATCTCTCCAAGTATGTGAAATCTCTCCCAAATCTCTCTCAAAAGTTCCTTGGACTTTTTATAGTCTTTCGGGCCATCCCAACCCTTAACCGGGTCAAAAACGGCTTAAAACGGGGTAAAAACGAGAAAAATGGACCTTAGGAACCGAAACCCTTCTCAAGAAGCCGAAGCCTCTTAGGGCCGAGCCCCTTGGACCGAAAGTAACCAGGACTGAAACCGAGCCTCGGTCTCTGCTCGCTCCTCTCGGCCTCTACTCGCTCCTCTCGGTCTCTGCTTTTCCTCTCGGTCTCTGCTCTCTCCTCTCGGTCTCTGCCCCTCCCCTCTCGGTTCCTTGCCTCTCTCAGTTCTTCCCCTCTCTTCTCTCGGTTTTGGCATCAAAAGACCGAAACCTCGGCCAGACTTCAGAAAATTGACGTTTTTCGCCCAATTTTGATATTTTTAATATTTTAAGCCTGTTTTTCGAGATTTTAATGCGGAATTTTCACCCAAACTCATATTTTAACAAAATAAGCCCCAAATATTCATAATTTAATCATATTTTCATAAAAATCATTATTTAAATAATAAAAATCTATTGGGTGATTTATTTAAGGTGGAGTGTTGACCTTGACTTATCTTATGTCACAAGCAACCACCCCCACACCCACTCTATGACCAGCCACACCTCCCCACCTTACCTAGGTCACTTCAATGTCCCTTACACTCAATTACCACCCATTCCCACGTTTTTAGAGCTGGAATAAAACATCCTCTCTCCTCACTTCTCTCATTTGCCCTCATTTCACCAAGGATCCAACTCCACTTTTCTCTCAAACTTTCTCTACCAAATTCGAGATTCAAGTCTGATTATCAAGTGTTCTTCCACTCTTGGTAACTATAATTCATCCTCCTTGTGATTATTGCACTTCATTCTACTCAAATCATTGATTGCTTACACAAACTCCATAACTATGATGTTAGATTCTCGAAAATCTTCAAGGCATCTCCAAGTGTTCTTGAGTTAAACACTTCCATTCTTCAACAATCATCTACTGAAATCACTTAAGGTGAGTTCATACCCCTACATTTTCATGTTTTCTCAAGTTTTTATGGGGGGAATACAAGTTAAAACACCAAGAACATAAGTAAACTTTTGCTAACATCCTTCATCATAAAAGTTCAACTCCATTCACGGACTGTTTTGGGCAACTTAAACATTTTTGTTTTCAAAACTCTATAAGGTGAAAATATTTCAAGTTCATAGATTTAAAATGACTACTTTCACATCTCTATACGATTTTTCTACAATTTATGGTGATTTTTACAAAACTGTCTATCATTTCAAACACCAATCCGGACCAGTCTGTGATTATGGACTTTTTCACCCAAGTTGGAGGTCATTAAAAATCATGATAAAAATTATGAGTAAACTAGACACATTTTGGGAACTCTCAGAATTTACGGATTCAGTTTTCGACTTCGTATGATTTTTCTATGATTTTTGCAAAACAGTGCATAAAGGTTAAAGTTAGTTAACAACATATAAATTTCATAACACTTTGTATTATGTTGAGCAAAGTGTATAACAATAAGTTCTAAATATTGAATGTGTTTACTTGTTAGTTTATCTTCATAAATTGAAACTTAATCACTCATTATAAGATTATTCTTTTTATTTAAATCACGTATATTAAGCTATAATAAGCATAGTTTATGGATTCATAGCATTATTGCAATTTCATAAAAGAGTTTTTATACACTACAAACGTTTTGGATAAACTATAATAGGTATAGTTTAAGATTCATCACATAACACACTCGTACAAAAAGGGTACATTCATACAAAAAGGTTCTACACTCATACACACTACACATAAACTTGTTAACTCAGGATGTGAGACTATCTCTCCCCGTACGTCCGAGTACGGGATCCCTAAATTCTTGTAAGTCATAACCAAAATCTCTTGTAGGGAGAGTGTGATAATTGTGTATAGATCTATATTGGGGTTGACATCCCACACCTCGCTGCTAGCTACAGCTGGACCGGCAGGTCCACGGGTGACAAGAGTCATAGGATCAGGGCGTCTAAAAGACGTTGTGCAGGTTACCTCTAGTCATTGTATGGTTATAGCGACTCACATAGGGAGCTAACAATCAATAAAGTTTACGGGATATTTTTTTTATAAAACAAAAGGGGTTTTATGTCGATTTAAAATCACTTTTATATCAATAAATACAGATAATACCATACACTCTCGGTCTAGGTATTTATGATTACACATCACTCACGATATAGAACTACATACACACATTAAAGAAAATATTGGATTTTCTTTTAAATACATTTTTCATCGCTTTTACAAGGAAAATGGGTTACTTCTCTAAAGAAATCTCTTATGAACTCACCAACCCTCGTGTTGACACTTTTTCAAACAACTTGTATTCTCAGGAAATCGCTAAACAGGTAACGAAGTGCTTTTGAGGATGGGACGTTAAGGTGTCAAACTTTTCATATTTTGTAAACATATTGTAATTGATTTTGAAACATGTAATTCATACAAGTGATGTAACTTTTTCAATTATATATATGTTGGTTGTGTTTGCTTAAATTACTATTGAAATTGTGGTTATGATACTATACATGAAGTCCTCCACCCCCGGACGTTTCCGCCATCCTTGGTTTG